ATTTTAAATACTCAAATTTTTATTTTCAATTTAAAAATTTTTGGAATATAAAGAATATTTTATTTTTAATTTTATAATTATATATGTTATTATATTTATTATTGTATAATTTTTATAATTATTTTTAACATTAATTTTTGTAAATAATAAATTTAAAAAGATAATAATAGGAAATTTATAAATTTATTCTAATTTTATATCTTAAACAATATTATGAATTTTAAAGTAATATAATGCTTGAGTTTTTTGCTAATTTTAATTAGCAAAAAACTCAAGGATTATATTACTTTTGATTTGTTTCAATTAGAACTTTTTTAGATAATATAATTTGAGATATTTATATTTTATGCTTTATAAATATTACAGAAAAATGATATATATTTGTAATTTTATTAATTATTATTCAATAAAATAGTATATGAACATTACAAAATGCAGATATTTAGCTTATAAGAATCTTGATGTAATCTCCGATCCATGAATTTTATTATATTCAAGCAGGTTTGATTGTATGAAATTATTATTACACCTATCCGTATAATTAGATTATAAATTACAAAGAACAAATATTATAAGAGTAAAGATATTTTTAAGAATGAGTTTATGAAAACAAAAAATGAAGAACGAAATTTTATAAATATTAATAAAGAGAAAATTCTATCTTATAGAAAATGCACAAAAGACAGAATACTTTATTATTAGATAAAATCTTCAGAAGAGAAGTTAAAAGAAATAATTAAAAACGCAACCTGGTATTTTATTAATTATTTACTTGTTTCAAAGTTTTGTGCGTTTGTTTTTAGTTCATTCTGCTGAAAGTACAACAATATCAATATAGAAAATAATTCTATAAGTTATATAAACTGGGTTTTGTGATATTTCATTTTGATATTAGCGTACATGTAGAACCCTAGCCACGGCAAAAAAAAATGCTGTCAGATCATGTGATTTTTTAAAAGGGTAAACCAATCAAATCGAATAATAAATTTCAATTTTGTTAGTTACACTTAAGATTAGGATTAGAATTGTATATTGCAAAGCAAAATTTTGCAAGAACATTTTTTGTTAGAACACCAAAAAAGTGATTTCATAGGGATACCTATTTTTCAATAAATAACCGCTTTTGAATTTTTTCCGTTACACATTGATCTTGCGATTTGATTGGTTTACCCCTTAAAAATTACGTGATCTGACAGTAGTGGCTTAGTGTATTTTTGCACATGTGAAATACGTCATACGTTGTGTCATGCAACATGTACATGTAGTTGCTACAGGAACATGTACATGTATTTGACGTCTGCATATTACAATAACGATAAGGAATGCGTGCTTTGAATTGAATCAAAATACATGAACGTTCCACTATAATGTATGCTTGGGGAGAAATATTTTGGCGTTAAAAGATATATAATTTTGAACTTGTTCGGTTTCAATCGGGCAAATTTCGTATGTAACTTTGTCAGTTTCTGGTTATTTTTTACTTCACCACAAATAAAGCCTCTTATCGCATCAACAATGGTAAATAGAAAACACTGACAATGACACTACGTATTTGTCTTAACCGTCTTCGTCATTGTCAATCAAAGGGTACGCACAGAGTCTTGAACGGGAGATGCTTGAATTATTGGTGACGAAATAGATGCCAAATATACAATAGGTGACGTTGAAACGATGCATTTATTTCAGAAGATTGTTAAAAATTAGTTAGCTGATGGAAAGCTGTTTGCGAATGCAACTTTATAACATAACCAATTACCCACGATGTAGCGGATGCAGTGGTCTGACTAAATGAACTTATTATACCGTGAGTTTTTTATCACAAGTTTTTATCTTGCAAATTTATTCGTTACAGAGCAAATTCATTATAAATGCATCATTTTATTATTTATTATAAATTGTTATAAAAAATTAACGTTAAGTTAATTAATTGCTTCTCATAGATTAAGGATGTCGAAAATATTACATACTACCATTTCACGATGCACATTTTTAAAGATGTATTTTTAGTGGGTACATGAAATCAAGAATATTTATTAACGTTATTGAAGTTGACTATCAAATATGCTCACATGAACACCGAATGACAGTTGAACGTTGGTCAGTCAATCACTTGAATTGTTTATAGAGAATAATATTATCGCCTCAAAGCGCACGTTTCAAATTATAAAAGGTGATGCTCGAAACCTGCTCGAACAGGTTTCATTTAAAAAATATATATGTAATATGAAAAAGAATGATGAAATTTTTACACACAGTACATCTACTTATTCTGCATATGTAATTCAAAGAGTGGTACATATCGATATACTTTCTTGTAAATGAATAAACATATATGCACGCGTGAACAAATACACAATGTAAAAATTATAATAGCGATAGTGACTCCCCATTCATATATTTTTTTCCTTATAAACAAAGAAATTTCTATTAATCATTTACCCCAAACCCAAAAGCAGTTATTAATACTGTATACTTGTCGCAGTGCAGAATTCCGGTCTTGTAAAAATTTTTATCCACGATCATTGAATTACCTATTATCAAGTGCAATAGCAAAGTTTTAGAGAATGTCAAAAACCAGTTCATTCTATGCGCATAAATTTTGTTGTTTTTCTAGCAATATAGAGAAATTGGTTTTAATTTTATGACAGAGCTTGATTGCAATATTAATGAGTTATTTTTCTTCAATATGTAATAAAATGAACAAGTAGCCACTATTTTTTATTTTATACTCAGAGCCGTGCTTATAGAGTTATTAAATAAATAATCCCGAAAGTTATCGTTTTAAAAATTGATTTTCTAACAAATATCAAATCCAAATTGAGGAATCTGTATGTCTATTTCATAATCTCGAGAACAATACACAATTGTCATTAAATTAAAGTTTATTTATTCTCCAAATCTTGACGAATTTTCTTCCTATTCTCTTCAATAACAAAAATATCAGTACACGACATTCGGGCGTTCGCCCTTTTTTTTTTATTACTCTAATTACGTTATCGATTGATGGAAAAAAAAGCACACAACGAAAATATGTGCGCAATATTTGCTTGGAGTGTTTCTATACAGTAAGAAAGATAAAGGCGCGAAGCTTTTGAATTAACAATGAGTGACATTCCATTGAGGAAAAGTGAATGGCTAAATGGTTACTTTCCCAAGGCTGTATTAAATGAAAACAAACTTTTTATTGGTTCAGTAAATCAGTAGATTATAGCGATAGATCTCAATTTCATAACGAAAAGGACTACCGCATTTTTTCATTATTGTACATGTATTTTCTTAATATGTAGACATCAGCCAATTACATGCATATCGATATGTATGGTACCTGATCAAAAAGTCTCGGAACGCCCATTTTTGGTGATTTACCAACAGATCGATATTGAGATACGTTTGTAGCTTAGCGTTAGGTTCTATTAATTAAACATCCAGAATTTTTACTTTCTAGTTTTTGTAAAACTCCGATTTTATTTTGAGGCGGACACGATTATATTTTCAAAATAAAATTCTTGATTTTTATAAAGGTTTGATTTCAAATTTATTTAGGAATTTTATTCCATTTCTCTAAATGTGGTATTTAATTAATCATTTTTTTGAGCATCTTTAGACCTTATTAACGAAGTTTGTGATGTCAATTTTTAATCTTTCATTCAGTTCAACGTTGCTATGTCAAAACAGTAATCATTTCTTGGTATATTGTTATCCACTCCTTGGAAATTCTTTATTCTTTGAAATACTGTTATAATGGAAAACTGGATGTTTTAGAAATACTTTTGTACGAGATGCCATAAAACCAAATTATTTGGTGATGTTCAATTTCAATCTCGGTTAAAACGAAAGCATTTTTTAAATTTGAAAAATTTTCAACGAGAAAGATGCGATCAACGATAAAAACAAGTCAAAACCTAAACGAACGAAAATCTAAGCTAGAAAATAAATGAATATGTTTTTTCTACATTTTTGTGTAATTAAAACGCGTGTAATGCATGTATTTAGCAATTAAAATCAAAAAAATACGGTACCATGCATTGTCTGCTTACAATAAATCCATCCTATCATTCTTTTCGAGATGACTATTGTCATTCCTATTATTTACTGGTTATATAACGTGTTTTCACACACTAACAAACGCTGAATTACCACCCTTAAATTCCCATTACGTATCACATAACAAAGGAAAAGGGGGGTGGGGGGGAGTTGATAAAAAGAATCTTTTAGATATCGATGTCATTATTTATCGTGTTTTAATATTATCATCATGCAAAACGATTGTTATGGTATCGTAAAAAAGAAGAATAGGGAACAGATAACTGGAAACATGCATCAACATCAATTAATCCACGACCACAGTTAGGGTAAAAAAGTGCGCTTACAGTGGCGGCGGTTTGTGCAGCACTCAAATCACGATGCACGGTATATGTATACTCCGATGTGTTTGTTTTGTCTGTATACATGTGCATACTTACGTGTACGTCTCATGCATGGAAGCATAACCAATATGAAGACGTGCTTGAAATTTTTCGAGAGAATAAAAATTCATTATAATGATTGACGTAGCTATTGTATCTATTGTCTTCTATTGTCTAACTATACGTATCTAAGCCCGCTTATAATGATTCAAAAGAGAGGTTGGTTTTGACACAAACTACACTTTCCTGTATAACTCGTGCGACTGACTCATTTACTAATAGTTTGACAGGCCTACTGTTTCCTTATTTATCGCAATCGACCGAATGAATCATCGACACAACAATAACAAATCGCACAATACAACTGTAACGGTGGCAATACTAAATAGTTCCTGTGATTCTTTTGTTTGTTTGATCGAGAAACAAATAAATCATAACAAAAAGAATTATCCTCCTCGTTCCATACCAATCGTACCTCCCTTTTTTATTTTTCCTTATGTTTATTTTTTTTGATTTTCTCGGATTGAAAAATTTTTTTTGAAAAAATTAAACAAACAACAACATCACCGTTCTCAATAATCTAAGTAAAATGCAATGGCCCGCCTAACCGGCTCACGAAGAAAAAACAAACATGCCAATATTAACGACCACCACATTCTAAAGCCATCATCAAACGACAACATTCTCAAACCATTCTCAAAAAACATAAAGCACAAAAAAGGACCGACACTCACACCCCAAATACTCAAGATAATATTTACGTATATCATCGAGGACGCCAATGGCGACGATGATTCTTCTGATCCATCCTCAAAATCTTCATTCACTTCATCCTCACTGAAAGATTTCCGTTCGTGCATGTTAGTGAATAAATTATGGTGTGCAACCGCAGTCCCAATTTTTTGGTCCAAACCATTCCATTATCACGATGGTCCCGAATTAATTCGCTTGTATTTACTCTTCTTGCGTCAAGATAAAGATTCGCTGAATTCCGCAAAAACTTTGAAATTAATGGAATTGTTAGAAATGCATGGCGGGAATATCGAAGCAGAATCGCTTGAACTATTATTAAGTCTTGTGAAGAATGAAAATGTTACGACAAGGACTTTCAATTATCCAGCGTTACTTAAAGACCTTGATTATTATTCAATGTTAGTATCAATACGGAATTGGATATTAAATGAATACGAGAAACAAGTGTTAAAACAATATCAAGAACAAGAACAACTGAACGCATCACTAGATGAATTCAGTTTTCCCCCGAGACCAAAAAAACCCATAGATCATGAAAAAATTTTCCCACCGAAACCGAAACCATTACCCATACATCACGAGAACAATGTACAAACCCAAAAACTAATAGGAATCGTTGTACGTGAATTAATCGAACTTTGGATATCACATAATGTCCGTTTAGATGGTCTATTAATTGACACTCATTCACGAGATGTTTACGATATTGAACGTGATGATGAATTCATGCTGATTGCACAACACGAATTCAGATCGTTCACCTCGAGCTTGACTCGCCTAAATATCGCTGCGGGATTTAATAAAGGACGATTGTTTGGATGGTTGTCGAGAAATTGTAATGAGATTGTAAGTTAATTTTTTTTTGTGTAGTATCGTGAACATTATTAATGAGAACAAGTCGGAAACTTACCCCACCATATTTCGTAAACAATTGTAGTCGCATCTGACAATTGACATGGTTCGAATGAGAAGTTATAAACATCAGATGGGATGGGATGAAAATGGCAATCTCGCTTCGTTAATAGAAAAACAATATAATCTCAAATACTTGAAACTGTCAGGTTACGACGCAGACAATGCAGACATGGGTATGATCTTGCCTGCAGTTGCTGAACAATCTTCCACACTTCAATCTCTTCACTTCGAAGAGGTGGATTTTACCGATTGCCCTCCTTTTGATGACATTGCATCTTGTGAGAAACTCGAATCCTTACGATTTGTCAATGTCGATAATGTGTGGGCGGATATGATTAAACCATTAATGAATAAAGATTGGGAAAACTTAAAGAGGGTTGAGGCGATTGGTACTTCTTGTACTAGGCTGAGAGTATGGGCGGACGGGTTTAACGATAAACCGTCATCGTCAGTTGATGCTATCGATGTAGAAATGGATGAGGGATGCGAAGAAGGGGGAGGGGAAGAAATCATCATGAAAGAGAAGAAGAAGAAACGGCGGAATAGGAAAAAGAATAAAAGGAAGAAAGAAAGGAATGTAAACGATGAGAATGTGGGTGAATGTGTGATTGGTATTGGGAGCGGTTGTAAGGATAAAATTTTAATTACCATTTCTTGCTAAAAAATTATGTACTATAGATATATATAGCTTTGTATTATTTTCATTATTTTCCTCTTCTTAATTTATGTAATAATTAATTTTTAATATGATGCATACGACAAAGAGTACTCGAGTAATTTTTTCTGCCTTTTAATAAGCTTTTGTAAAACAAAAAAAAAATTAAGAATATTGTATGTAAAAAGAAAAAGAAAAATAAAAAATTTTAGTAAAATGCGGCAATTAATTGTTCGTGAATAACGTGTTTTTAAATAACACTGATTAATCGTTATGATATATACGCACGTATTATACATGTATGTAGCGATAGCGATACGATAGAATATTACCTCTACAATTAAAAATTGATAAACTCTCGTAGACGCATTGATTCCCAAGTTTGGCATTAATGTTAAGCAAGAGTATGCATTTTGCATTATGCATGCTTGCTTTACCTCTAGCTTGTGAGCCAAAAAAAAAACCACAATGAACACTTAATATTTACCTTGCTTTCGACTGTTATTCCCGAATGAACAAAGTTATTGTATGCATGTGGATTTCGATTAAAATTTTTTTTCAAACGTTATCGTTATATTAACACGCACGTTTCACAGCGATAAGGAAACACGGTGCAACGTAACGGTGTATTTTAATACATGGTTGTGCTCTTTAAATACGTACATGTAATGCGTTTCATTCATTTATTTCCAATAGAATAGATATTTGGAATTATTATATTTTAAAATTTATCGTTGATGCTTTGATTTTTAGGAACGGAGCGCGCATGATCCATTACGTATCGGTATCATTGTAATTTTGTATTATCGATCAATAAAGATAAATGAAATTTATATTACTAAATCGATGAATTTTCTAAACTTTATATTTAATGCGCGCAATTAATGCACGTAAATCATTATTTCATAGCGAGTCTACAGAAATAAAGTTTAATCTAAGTTGGGAACTCAAAATGCAAACTTTAATTGTCTATTGGTTTATTTTCAATGTACTATAAGATTCCGAGATATTTGAATTCATGCCTTGGATTTTATTAACATTAAGGTATATAATAATTTTATTTCATCTGCGGACTGCTATGAAAAAGCAATAGCGAATAACGGAGATTTGAATACTCATTCATAACTTTAAATCTCTGTTAAATAACAATCTAGCGAGTCACAATCGTTTTATATTCATCTGCAATCAAAGTATTCAATTGACATAACGAGTTTTGTAGAGCTTTACAAGAATGGTATGTAAAATTTTAGCAAAACGCCATTACTTTTAATAATTTCAAGCGCTGTTTTCTTTCGATAACCATCATAGTTATAATTTTGAATTTTCTTCACCTGAAAATAAGGTCCGCAATAAACTAACAAATATTGATTTCTGGCCAGATAACCATATAACTAAAGCTTTCCTATATCTGAAACTTTAACATAGAAAACTTGACATATATTTTAATAAGCGGTAAGTACTTTTTTGAAGCATTGTATAATCATCATTCACCAGTGGATTTTTGTAACTTTATTTCTTGAAATTTGAAATTGTTCTAAATAAATTATTTTCATCACTTGTGTAAAATTAGATCAAGTAGCATTCTTTATTTCTAAAATTAACAATAATATTGATTGCTATTTCTTATTCAGTTATTATACTATGCAAAAGATAGAGCATCAAAGTTACGAAAATTCTCTTTTAGATGGTTATTATTTTTATAAACTTCCCTTGAACTGAATTTTCAACGAAAATTATATTTTTGAAACAGGAGTTTACCCTCTTGAAAATTGGTAAATATACAACTTTTAACGAATTTTTAAGAGATATAAAAAAATTTTACGAACAATTTAACCATTTAAATAACGTACAAGTGAGTGGCTTCCTTTATTCTTAATTAAATGTTATGTTTTATTATTTAGTATTGGAATATATTATCATTCAAATTAAAATACGTAATTATTGTTAATATTACATATTGTATCCAGATTGATAAAATAAAATAGCTATGTATTGTTGTTTTTATTTAATTTGGTGCCTTGATTTTTCCTTTGATTTTTTATGCCGTCTAAAAGCTTTGATGCAGACGGAATGCGATAATTCTTTAATGTGTATTTACATGCATGCATTTAAATCATCCTTCAATTCTCTCATTGTTAATTGTATTATTTTAATATTGTTCAAATTTCGATCGAGTCCTTTTGCTCTGATATAATCTGATTTTTAATTACATACACTATGTATATACAGTAGCTCACTTAAGAAATGGAACACGGAAAAAAAAAATTGGCGAGATACGAATATCTCGCCATTGAAGAATTACGTGGTAAGTGAGTTATATTCGTTAAAATAATGCACATCAACTAATACAAATTTTATTTTCATCTATCATTTCCTTTATACACTAATAATTTTTTTTAAATTTTTTTAGCGTTCTGCGTAATATGACCGACTTGTTTAAGTAATTAGAAACAGCAAAGATAAGTATAAAAGCTCTTTTTATTACTTTAATTTTTGTAAAAATACTTTAACCATTCTAGATAACAATTCTAACCACGTTTTATTTGAAAAATGCCTTGGATCTCTCAAGAAAAATGCACACAAATATTCACATTACGAGAAAAAGGTTATTTGGTATGGGAAATCGCTACTTCAGAGCAGGTGGGCCTTGCATCAGTCCTACGAATTTGCAAAAAAAGAAAGAAACCAGAACCTTTGATGATCTAGAAAAAACTGGTCATCCACGTCTAACCAACCGCTATGAAAGATATACTATCCGGTTGTTAATGACTGAATAGTGTTCTACCACTGTAGAGGTCAAAAATCAAACTTAAATCTGATCTTGGAATTGACATTTTTGTAGAGAGCGTATGGTGAATATTCCAGAGAAATGGTCTATCCTCAAAAACTAAATGCAAAAAGCTGATACTCAAAAAGACACACTAAAAATGGTGGCTTGCTTGGGAAAGAAATACCAAGATTTTACAGTTGACAATGGGAGATTGATCCTCTGGACTGATGAAAGCAAGTTCCAGCTTTTTTGGATCAGATGGCCATAAGTACTGTTAGGTGAAGGTGAATGAGCAACTAAATCAACATCAAATCATCCTTATAATGAAGTTTGATGATAGTGCTATAATGGTTTGGGGATGTATGAATGCCAAAGAGGTGGGACAACTCAAAAAATATCAGGAAATTTTTTGGGGTGATTTGTATCAATTTTTATCATTAGTTATACAGTATATTGATATATATCAGAGTTATCAATGCATATTGAAATAGATATTTGATATATATCAATATATATCAAAGTCATTAATATGTATTGTTTAACAATGTACATTATTAAATATCATTGTTTAATGATGTAAATTATTAAATATCATTGTTTAAAGTGTAAATTTGTTAAATCAACTTATTTCATTAAATATCATTATTTAATAATTTTTTTATTAAATTCAGAATATTCTTTATTATTAAAATAAAAATCTATTTAATAAATATATTACTTTAAATACAATTCTAATAATGCTCAACTAATTGATCAATATTTTCATCTTTATTCTCTGTAAATAAGTCATTTGCTATGCAAAACTTCTTATTAAATAGCATTATCACTTATATTATCATCACCTTCATCATCTTTGAGTTCTAATCTATTTTTTTTTATTAAGTCTCTTATCTTTAATAATGCTTATCAAGTTTTTATATGTTAGATTATATTTTTTTAATATATTTTCTAAAAGAAAATTATTATTAGTCACAAAAGATTATATATAATATAAAATAAAAGCTTACTTTGTATTTATCTATATGATATTGTAATAATATTCTGCTTATTTTAATTGATAAATAGTTTAAATTTAGTATAATATTACATATATTTATAATAAATATATATAAGTTAATAGATAGCAGTTTTCATAAAAAAATAGAAAAATAATATAAATAATATAGTTAATATTATTAGTATCATTATTTTCAAGTTGAAATAACTTATTATAATATTCAGTTACTTCTAATAATACTTTTTATTTAGAAATTTTCTTGGAATTTTTTTGATTATTAATAAAAGATAAGATATTTATTCCAAAGATACAAAAAATTGCTTTCTTAACTATCTTATATTGAAATTATATATATCTTTCATTCTTTTCATAATTTAATTAAAATATAAAAATTATTAATAAAATTCAATAAAATTATAATTATAATAATTATCACTAAGTGATATTATTTAAAAAAAGTATTAGTTTATTCATATTTTACAATTTCTTATAAATAGTCAGGATAATTACAGTTAAGCCAGAATTCAAATCTCTTCTTATAATTATTGAATTGTGATTATAATTTAGTTAGAAAAAAACTTGAATTGATATTACTATAATCATTTTATAATTATTTAAATTTTAAATTCAATAATATATATAAGAGAATTAAAATAATATATACTTATAGTTCACACTTTTCTACTTAAATTTATTTTTTTATTTTATTTCTTTCTTATTTATATCTTAATTTTTTCTAATTTGTCAAATATCATCTTCTGAAATTTATAAATCACTTGGAATTATTAATTTTATTTTAATATAACTTTATTATAATATTTTTTATGTTAAGTATACTTATCTGTATTATATAGTTTAAATAATATTGATAAATCAGTTAATATTCTTGATAAACTAGTAAGAGTAGATAATTTTGATAAATTAAAATAGTAACAATCTATATGTAATTTATAAAGTTAAAAATTAATATTTAACAATATTTATTGAATGATATTTAATAATATTAATCAAAAATTACTAGAAATTGATTTTGATATAATTAATATTAGATTGAATATATTTTCAGATTAAGAATATATTATTTTAGTAAAAGAATTATTATTTAGAAAATTAGTTTGTTATTATATTTGTTTTTTAGATATTATTTTAATAAGATTTAAATAAAAAATATAAATAAAAAAGATAAATTTCATAATAAATCATTTAAA